TGGTGCCGCCGTGTCCTTCAGGGCCAGTGGAGCTGCTGAGTTTGTTTGTACGGCCTCGGAAACTCTGCACGGGTAGCGTTGCTAGTGCATCCGTGCGGTGAGGAGTTGGGAGGAAAAGCTGTGCAGAAAGCTGTTTTCTTTGATATGCGCCAGGCTGGGAGAGCGTGTTCGGGGCCAGCGGGGCAAAACAAGCCTCCCTCTGGTACACTGTACCTCTTCAGGTGGGATAAGGAGGTCCTGCGGTGAGATGGTGGCATTAGGAAACAGCTGGAAAAGAGTTTTATCTCTGAAGTGTGGAGGAAAGTGAGAAACCCCATGTGTGTGGGACTTGCACAAGACCAGAGCAGCCAGTGAGATGGGTAACCTCAGGAGCACTTGGGGTGGATGTGATGAGGCAGGCCAGGTGTTAGGAAAGCCAGAGAGCACGCTGAAGTAACTGAGAACAAGAAACATTTGGGTGAGAATTCAGGGGTATGAATAAAATCAGATTGTTTGGGAGAGGAAGGGGTGATATGTGAACAAAGCAGTAAAGAAGGTTTACATTGTAAGCAAGATATAAGTTAAAATCCTGTGAAGAATATGAATTTTGAGAGAGGAAGTGGAGATTGAGAGGGCATGGGAAAGGAAATTACTGTTCTCCATAAGGGAGTGTGAATGGAATCACATCAGAAGACTGTGTGGTGGAGTCTCAGAGAATGACCAAGAGCAGATATTTAGGGGTAGCTCATGAAAGGTCAATTTTGATAATGCCACAAAGGTTTTCTCCTTTTTTTCTTCTCATTCTTGCTTAATGGTGTGTGTAGACCTGTGTATTTTTCTGACTGCCTTGTTTGAGATTACAGGAAGAAACTGTGCAGACAATTAATGGAGGAGTGCTGTATTAAGTTATTAGCTGGTGTTAGACTCTTCTGTTATAATCCAGATCACTTATGCTTCCTCAAAGTCTTTTGTCTAATGTTGTTTGATATATTAACTAGATTTTCAGACATACTTCTACTTGTCTGCAGCGGGTTGATCCTGGCACGATGCCAGGTACCCACCAAAGCAGAGCATCACTCCCCTCCTCAAATGGACAGGGGAGAGAGAATATAACTAAAGGCTTGTGGGTCAAGATAAGTACAGGGAGAGCTCACTCACCAATTACCATCCTGGGCAAAACAGACTCAACTAGGGGAAATTAATTTAGTTTATTACCAATGAAATAAGAGGAGAATAATGAGAAATAAAAAAACCCTTCCCTCTACCCCTCCATTCCTGGACTTAAGTTTACTCTCACATTCTCTCTCTCATCCCCCAAGCAGCACAGGAGGACAGGGGATGTGGGTTGTGATCATTTCACATGTGTCGGTGCTGCTGCTCCATATTCTTCAGTGGGAGGACTCCTCACACTCTTCCCCTGTTGGGGTCCTTCCCATGGGAGACAGACAGTTCTCCATGACCAACGTTGTTGTCCTGAAACAGGTTCTTTCGCCCAGTATACAAGAAGTCCATCCACACACAGGGTCAAGGTATTTGATTTATTGCTCTCAAACCCTGTACCAGCCTTGAGAACGAGGCTTCTTTAGCAGTATGAATTTCAGATTCTCACTCTCTAAGCCGCATTCAGTACTGTGTCTAGGATGTCGTTTTCAGATGCCTCCAAGGTCTGGTTCATTTGTAAACAGATTTGAGTTTTCTATGCCTTTTCCTGTGAGATGTATAGCTGTACAGAGTTCTCTAAAAAAAGCTGGTTTAGTGTTTAGCTTGCATAGTAAGTCTCGTCCTAACAGTGGCAGGGGACATTCTGGCGTGTTGAAACTTGTGAGTCAGTTTAGTATGTCCAGTTGGACATTTCCAGGACTAGTAAGAGTGGCCATAAAGCTCTTTTTCCAGTAGCACCAACAATCAGTATTGTTACTTTATTTAGCAGGCCTTTGCAGCTAGTTATTACTGAATATGTGGCACTGCTGTCAATCAAAAATCCATTGTTTCATTTCCCAGCTGTACTGGAACTGGAGTTCTGCTGGGGATGCCCTGATATTTTCCCAGGTCCCCTTTACTCTTTGTCAAAATTTCTCTAGCATTACAAGCTTACATCTTCTAATTGACCCTTCCTGCTTACAAATAGCACATTGATTCAGGGCAAGGGGTGGAAGCGCTTTCAGACCCCAAACTCACTGCCTATTGCTCTCCTTTCACCTTCTTTAATACCATTCTCTTCTCTTTCACAGTAGAAAGGTATTCAATATGACCCCCAATCGGTCAGCATGATAGTTCCTGAAAGCTGATACAGTAAAACAGATTTAAGCCTAGCCTCTTTGGTTATATGTTTGAAAAATTAATGCGGCTGAGATAAGGGTGAAGCTGATAACAATATTCTCTGAATTCAGGGAACAGAGGGGCTGGAAATTAAGGTAGGATGCTGGATGACCAGTAGGCCTACCTATAAAAAGGCATCCCAGATTTCTGTGCATGACACATCAAAAAGGGTGGTAAGACACTGGAACAAGTTGCCCAGGGAGGTTATTGATGCCCCAACCCTGGCGGTGTTCAAGGCCAGGTTGGATGGGGCTTTGAGCAACCTGGTCTAGTGGGAGGTGTCCCTGCCCATGGCAGGGGGCTTGAGAGTAGATGATCTCTAAGGTCTATTCCAACCCCTTAACATTCTATGATACAATGAAAAACAGCAGTGAAAAAAATTTTATACCACTGAAAAATGAGACTGTGGTGTAATTTTACCTTAGTGTGTGTGTATATATATGTGTTTCTATGGTATGCCTTTGGGCCTAGCATAATGTGGGACTATAATTTAAATTCAAAATAGATATTATTGAAACTAAAACAACTGTGTTTTCACCAATCAAAGAGGATGAGAAAATTTTGTCTCCAGATATTTCTCAAATAGTACCATATGTAATCTAAAATAAAGCCCTGCAACCAATTTTGTTTAATCCATCTTGGTCTCTTAAACTGGTGGAATTAGTAATGCAGATTAATATTCTGCACTGTTCCTGGTGGTCACTGCCTGAACTCTGGTCAGGGTGACAGCCCAAGGCAGCTCACATGTTGAGATTTTTTTCCTCAGGAGAGACCAGGATGAGGCTCACGCTGATTCTTGCTGTCCCTGACCATGGCTCTCTGTGTGGTGTCTTTGTTGCCTGTTGTGGCCAGGAGCATGACCACAGGTCCTGCCAGGAACCTGCTCCAGCTCAGGCTTCCCATAGGCTCACAGCCTCCTTCAGGCATTCACCTGCTCTAGCCTCTGGTCCTCCAGGGGCTGCAGATGGATATCTGCTCCACTGTGGATCTCCATGAGCTGCAGGGGGACAGCCTGCCTCGCCATGGTCTTCAGCATGGGCTGCAGTGGAATCTTTGCTCCAGTGCCTGGAGCACCTCCTGGCCCTGTTTCTTCGCTGACTGCAGAGTTGTTTCTCTCATGTGTTCTCACTCCTCTCTCCAAAATTGCTGTTGTGCAGCCTTTTTTCCTTTTCTTAAACATGTTTTCACAGGGGTACAACCACCATTGCTGATGGGCTCAGCCTTGGCCAGCGACAGGTCTGTATTTGAGCCAACTGGCATTGCCTGTCCAGACACAGGGGAAGCTTCTAGCAGCTTCTCACAGAAGCCACCCCTGTAGCCCCCCCACTACCAAAACCTGGTCATGCAAACCCAATACCCTGTTGGGCTATTTTACTGTTCCTCTTGGTTTGTCAAAGTCTAGTGCTGGGCTATCCAGCCAGCAAGGCCAGGTACAACAGGTTGTGTGAAGTACTCTTTTTTTTTTTTGGCCATGATTTCCTGGCTTGTCTCCCAAATTGTCTTGAAATTCATGACAGATTGGCAGTATTGTCACAAGCACTTTACTTTTGCATCTGTGATGCAAATTCCACAAAAAATGCTTTGAACAAGATGTCCTGTTTTTTGAAAGGAACAGGGAAGCAGGAACACCATCCTTTCTTTCTCATACCCAAAATAAACAGTACTCCCTTTGGTATAACAGGCATGTTAGGTTCATGGTTGGTTTTGTTATTCCCTTTCTTCCAAGAATCATTTAAGAGAACAATCTTTCTAGTTGTAAAGGCAGTTATAAATACTGGCACTAAGCAGCTATGGGTAATTGAGCCTTTATATTCCATTTTATAATACATTTATCAGTCTATATACAGCATTACAGCTATATATACATATATATGTAAAGCTTGCCTGACATTGCTCTCAGAAATCATACAAACAAGCAAAGTTTGTATTTGAAATATGAGAGCTTATTATGACAAGAATGCAAGCAGAACATACTTGAAATGTTACTAATGACACTATTTTGCGTCACTCATTAGTTTACTCACTAGCTTTAACAAAAGAAAACTCTTGGTTTAATCTGTAGTGTTTTACCTGTTTTTCAGTATCATAGTTTACAGCTTGGAAACTATTTTTGTAAGAAATAAACTGTTTTAAACATGACCAGGTTCAGATTTAGTGTGGGCTGTATCACTTCCCCTCTGTAACTGATTCAAACTTAGTTTAGTAAATTCAGCTTACTTACCAGAGACTTAGCTTTCAAAAGGACCTATGGTTTGGATTGACTTTCTACCCAGCTAATGCTGTGTTCAGAAAATAAACTGTATATAGTACTACTGAGTAGATGTGGTATGATATTACATACACTATCAGAGCTAATTAACTGCCACCAAGACAGTGCACACAGACCCTGCTCACATTCTTGAGGCAAAAAGGTACACCAGCAGCTAGTGGTTAATGAAGGAAAAGTGCAGTAATAAAAAAAGGCTGTTTCTTTTGTGTACCTCCAAGAGAACTGCAGAAGGTTAAAGGTTATCGATTATTTGAATTGTGTGAAACAATTATAACTGGTTTGTGTGAGGCTGTGTTCCATCTCCCTTCTGTGTTATAATCATTAACTGGTGGCAATTTACTTTTGGATGTATTTGCAGTGTTTCTGACTGCTTTGGTACTCAGTGTAAATTTCTCTTCCCAGATAATCTCTTGGGAATTTCCTGGGTTGACAGCTCCTGGATTCCAATATTGAACAATGGGAGTGTGTTGGACTATTTCTCAGAGCGAAGTAACCCATTCTATGACCGAACATGTAACAATGAAGTTGTCAAAATGCAGCGGATGACCTTGGACCATTTGAAGTAAGTCGTAATTTGCAGCGGCTTCTTGTGCACTGTGCTTTGTTCCTCCATCCAGAGGCTTTGATGGTTGAATAGAAGCATGTTGGAGTCATCCTTCTGTTCTGTGCTTTTTAGCCCCACCACTTGCCAGGGAGCCCAGCTTTCTTTGTATTTGGGTGTCTTCTGCTTCTTCTTATGCCATTCAAGGAGGTGTTAACCTTGAAGAATTCTGTGTATCTTTTGAGATTCCAGTACATTGCCTTTTAGATATTTCTCTGAAAACTATATTTCTCATCTTCCCATCTCAACAGAACCTGATTAATGGTAATGTAGTTAAATGTGTTGAATAGAGTTTATGTTAGGGGATAGTTCATAAATAGTTTGTGTTTCCATGTCCTACTGACTATATGCCATAATTAGAACATAACTCCTCCAGAGAGCTGTTTTTTTTAGTATGAATAATAAAAGTAGTGAGTGTTGTAAATAAGCTGATCACATGTGGTTGTGTAATGAGATTGCAGCATGTGCAAGTTAACTTTGCAGTTCCCCATCTGCTACACTGAGCGCAAGTGAGACGTTTGAAAACTATTTAAAGAGTCCACAATATGATAGGGAGTGTGCAAGCAGAGCTAAAATTTCATTGGTAAAGTCAATTGTGCTCAGATGTGGTTGCAGAGAGCCTTTCATATCAGACACGCAACTGGTGACATCATGCACTAGTTCTTTGTTGCTGTGTTTAAATGACATTTCTATGATGATAGACTGTTGTCTTTCTTGCTATTTATTTGTTGCTCATATGTTGTACTTAGATGCTGTGTCAGGTTGTTTTAACTCCTTTTGTATATGCACCTAGGGTTTGATAGCTAGCTCAGGAAATCCTATTTACTGCACATTATGTAGAAGAGCTTCCAAAGCATCTGAACTTCATCACTTTACTGCTGGACCTTTTGGTAGCTCTTCAAATCCTACAGGTTTTATTTTGAGGAAGATACTTATTCTGGTTGCTTCTTTCTCAGCCAGATGGTTGGAGTGGAATACATCCTCCTTCATGCTCAAGAGCCCATTCTCTTCATTATCCGAAAGCAGCAAAGGCAATCTCCAACACAAGGTACGGCCACTCAGTTCTTGCTGCTGTTGAGAAGGGCAATCAGTTAGTTGCTTTTATCCGCTCCTAATTTGTGTTTAAGCACTTCTATTTCCCTGTTTCTGTCTTTATCTTAAATCTAACTAGAAGGATCTGAGGCTGTCATGGTTTAACCCAAACTAGCCTGTGTGTGGGGTTTGGTTGCTTTCTCGCAACCCCCACCAGAGGGATGGGGGAGAAAATTGGAAGGGTAAAAGCTAGAAAACTCGTGGGTTGAGATAAAGACAGTTTAATAGGGAAAGCAGAAGCTACACACAAGCAAAGCAAAACAAGTTAATTCACGGCTTCCCATGGGCAGCAGTTGTTCAGCCATCTCCAGGGGAGCAGGGCCCCAGCATGCGTAACAGTTCCTCAGGAAGACAGATGCCATCACTCCAAATGTCTCCCCGTTCCTTCTTCTCTCCCCCACTTTATCTACTGAGCATGGTGTCATATGGTATGGGATATCCCTTTGGTCAGTTTGGGTCACCTGTCCCATCTGTGTCTCTTCCCAATCTCCCATGCACCCCCAACTTTTTCACCAGCGTGGCAGGATGAAAAGCAGAAAAGGCTTTGGTCCTGTGCAAGCACAAATCCAAAACATAACCCCCACTAGCCACTGTGAAGAAAATTAACTACCCCAGTCAAAACCAGCACGGAGGCTTCGTGGAGGGGCGGAGATGCTTTCTCCAGCAGCGCGACCTGTGGTGTGCCAGCAGCAGGGACTGCCACCTCGTGGTGACAGACGGAGCGTGAGTGAGGAAGTGCTGCCCTGTGCTACAGCTTGCCACGGGAAACTGATAATAGCATTCATGCCATGTCGTGTTTATCCGTTAGTCTATGCAAGAGTTTTCATTTTAATTATTTGTATATAAACCTAACGATGTCTTTGTTTGGAGCTGATGAGCTTTGTTTAATTGGAGCTAATAATCTGAAATGGATAGTATGTGATTTATTTATTTTGGAGAACCACTATTTCCATTTGTTAGGGAAAGGGTAATTCATGTTTCTGTCTGTGTCATGTCACTGTTTTATTCTGCACTATTTCCACCTTCATCTGTGATTGGTTGTATTACTGAATAGGATCTTGTCAGTAGAAGATGACAACCCGTGTGAGGTACTGAAAATGCTTGTCATCTTGGTTATTAGTCAGAGAACTGAGATTTTGGAATCGTGATGGAATGTTGTGACAACAGCACCACTCCTTCTTGCAGTGTCACTGATGACCTTTCCAAGTTTCAAATGAAATACCTAATTTTTTTTCCCCATCTGCATGCAACTGCCTTCATTATTCCTTTTTAACCTTGATTTTGTGATCAATCACAAAAGTAGCCACATTTCAATAGTTATTGGACTGTCTTCTCTGTTTATGTAAAATAATTTAGGTTATTTCAGAGTAAGTTTTATAGAAAAGAAAGGCAGGGTTAATGCTGGTTATTTCTTATCTTCTTTTTTTTAGGGACCTAGCCTTTGCATATGCATTTTGATCTTGTAGAGGATGTTGCCTTGTCTTGCAATACTTATTTGCTTATATTAGGCAATGGTCTCTTTATATTGTGGCTCTGTACTGCATAAGAACATATATGATTTATTTTTAAGTAGCTTTATCGAGTTATTACTTTATTAAAGGTTTTGAATCTTCCAAAAGGTGAGTATAGGAATACCACACAGCCCTTAATTTCTGGTTTTGACACCTTTTAGATCAAGACTGGAGTTGGAGCTTCCACAATATGTGTGTTCAGACTTGTGCTGTAAGGCAAATATATGTTTGGTGGAACTTAACTGGGACTTGTTTGCTAACATTTTTCCCACTGACTGTACAGTTTGTGCTGGGTACCTTGATTGGATCACATAGTTCCCTAGCTCAGATGTTACCCGTGTGTTTCATTTTGTCATGGTAAAAATATCAGTGTGTTTGAGATGTGGGAATGGGGATGGAAAATGAGAATTTAATGAGTTCACAGCTAGTGTTGAGTACTCAGATAGGGCCAGTGCAGGTCTGTCTTATGACTTCTGTGTGTTTTTAGAAAAGATGTATTTATATTTTAAATTCTTTAAGACAAGTTTTTGCCTCTTTGAAGTGATTTTAGAAAAATGTTTTGGTCCGATGATTAGGGAGAGTTACCTGTCTAGAAAAGTAGGCTGCTCTGGTACAGAGCTGTGAGACAGTAAAGCTGCTGTTCTTTGTTCCACCTGTATGGCAGTGCTGAGAATCCTCTTTCTTTTGAGGCAAAGTGGGTACTGGCTGTAATGTGCACGCAGCTGTCTTGGACTGTTAATTTAGGCAAGTGTCCAAGCTTCCTCAAATGCAAGTATCGGCTCACTTATTAATACAGATGGAGGAACTGGAACAAATGTGTGTGCAGGTAAATCCTTAAGAATGTGAAATTCATGGCATTGCTGTAGTTTCTCAGTTGAGGAATGTTTGGCAAATACGATTGCGATGCTCCTGTGTGCTGCAACTCTACTGAACAAGAATTTTCAAATGGTCAGTAGAGGCTCCAAATCTGATTTAGCAAATGCCTTTGGAAGGTAGTCTTTTTATGGCAGAATTTTATCAATTTAGAAATATACACTCTTTGTGTGCTTAACTCGATTGGGCCTGGGAAATCTAGTTGAGAGGACAGTACAAGCTGGAGAAAGCTGAGGCCAGAAGAATGAGATCTTGCATTGCTGTGGGTTTCTACTGGTAGCAAAGGCAAGAGGAACTACTTCCAGTGCAGTTCACTTGACTCCTCTTGTGTAGCTCTGAAAAGCCCAAC